CAATGTCTGAAAACTATACACGCACACACACATCTTCCTTGTGGAGCGAACAAATAAAAGGAGTTAGATCAACAGATCAAATTGTTGATAGCAATCAAAACCTTTTTAAAAATAAGTTCTAGCTTATGCTCTTTTAGATTGATAATTTGAATCAAACTTGATTCTACCCCAGAATAACTGCTAAAACAAGAAAGCCTTAATTTGGGACGAAATAGCAAGCAGATTTCTGATATTGAAGATTTGAAGCTTACTAACACAGCAACAAGATGCAAGAAAATATTAAAAAGCAATATTGCCTCTGACAAATGCAAGTAGAAAAAACTAGGGGTGGTTTTTCTTAATCAAAAACCGAATCTTCTTTCCCAATTCAGGCTCGGGTGCTCGCCCAAAATAAAAAATTCGCATTATTTCAAGAATTCTTCTCAATTGGCTTTTCTTTTCCGTTCTGTAAGTAATCTCTCCTTCCTAAATCTGAAGCTTTCGGATTTCATCTATTGTCTTATTGATTGTTACTGCTTCCATTTACGAGGAACCAACTGATTGTGATGACGTTTAATCCTTTATGTGGTGTTATACTGAAGTTTATGTCTGTATATCTGTATATCCGAGTGAATCTGCTGCTGGGATGTGGTGAATTATTAAGCTGGTCCTAAATTTCTCTGAATTTCTGTGATCATATTTCAGTGCTGCTCTTGAAGCTATGCAGCTTTTGAATGTGAACCCTGCTAGCATTGATATAGAGATCTTTTGCTTTTGGATAGGGTGAAGAGCGGATTGCAAGAAGAAATTCAAAACTGAAATTGATTAATAGAAAAGCGAAAGAAACGAGAAGAACTGGAAACAATTGCAGGCGAGACTGCCCCAAGCACAAACGATCAGGATTTCTACTGCCTAAGCCAATTCTATTCTTTTCTTCCCCTAAGAGACCTAAACTCTACTACTTAAATAAAACAAACTAGGGTCCTAAGCAAATGCCCAACCCATCACCTTATTCTAACCCTAATTAAATAACATAACTAAACTATGGAAACCTTAAACATAGATACGTATCACTTTTGAAGATGACTCATTTCATTGCTTTATATATCATGAATAATCATTAAATGCTTAAACAAAAAGTCGTCTGGCTATAAATTGATAATGAAAAAGGTGCATCATATAACTTTATACCCCAGACATGCACGGACTGTATCATTTTTTGTTAGTGTGCATTCAAGTCACAAAGCTGTAATACAAATCAAATCTAACATTTGATAAATTCAAAATCACATTATCCAAGTTGTTCATATCATCAGCTCATATCATACAGGGATAGTTTATTTCATTAAAGAAAGCAATACCTTTGAAAGGAACTCATTGTAGGCAAGGAGGTAATTGCTATCTGGGTGGTCCTTAGGTACCACTCTTTCATCCACCCAAAATACGTGCCATTTTGACCAATCAACTGAATTGATGTAAGGTTGCTCCACCAGTTTCCTTTAATTTTATCACCAAACACAAAGTCAATATGGGAAATAAGATAAGCAAGTAAATATCATGATTAAACTATTAATTGGCATTATCAGTATATTATTTACTGCGGTTGTAAATATGACAATATAAATCAGTAAGCAGAAAACCCACAATTTCAATCAAGTTGCAAAAGTGAGACGGATAAATAAATAAATAAATAAATAAAGAACAAGATACTTAACCTGAGGGACTTAACAAGAGAACCACCGGAGAAAACGACAGTAAACGAGCCCTTATCCCGAGAGATTCTATTGGCTAGATCGGCGGTGTATTCTGCGAGTGCCACTGCCAGATCCTCCTCAGTGTCGAACACTTGGACTTTCCCTTTGCTCTTCGGAGTCACGATCTCAGCCATAGATGCTTTTGTTCTTCTGTTCGAGACCTTCGATTTTAGTCGAAGGGAGCTAAAATCCTGTTTAACGGTGAAGATCAGAGAAATGTTCGCCGGTGGTGATCGAGTGAAAGAGGGATATGAGAGAAGGCGCAGGTTAGCGGAGGCAGCTCGGCAGGTGGAGATGGCCATTCACAAGATTTAGGGCTAAATAAATATCACCACCGGAAGACATTAATCAACCAGATAGGGGTTAGGTGAGGATGATTATACAAATCTAACACGGACGTTCTGGATCATGCTAGTTTTGTTAACCAAAGAATAATAAATTGTTAACCATGCCAGTTTGTGATGGTTGGCAACTCAGATAGTGTTTGGTAAATTTAGTTGAAGAAAATGGTGAAAGTTGAGAGCTTTAAGAATTGAGTTGCTTTTTCTCTTATTAACAATCTTTTATCTAATTATTCTCTGGCGCATGAATAAGAGAAACGATTGTTAATAAAGAAATCCATGCCTTACCAATGAGCAAAAAGACAAACGTTGGGACAAGGCAGTAAAGATGGTCACAAACTACTAACAACAATGAAACATAGTTTAACTAGGAGATCAAAACAGTCAAGTATTTTAGCAAAAGCTTAATTTCACGCAATGACAATCACAAACTTTGTTCTGCTTATACTCAGATATAATTATCCCTAATCACAGTTCAACATCTTCTAAATAGAAAAATTCGACATGCTTATATTATTCTCCAGCAACTAACCAAGATCTTATAAATCAGTATAATTAGACATTATCGATAGGAAACCTGAATAATGGGAATAGATATCCGCACTATAAACCATATACATTGATATTCCAAATCAAAATTTGGACGTGTGGCACGTAGAGAAATTTCGAGCTGGCCTACATTTCGAATGACTAAGAATCCTTTACAAAATTAAACTGCAAGTTTGCAGATTTTAAAACCGGTTCCTATATATCCAGCTAAATTGATGATGACCTTCAGAAGTTCCAACTAAATCTAATATAAAGGGAGCAAAAGAGCTTGACTACCACTGGGGGTAAAATGTTGTACAGCTCCAAATGATCAAATTAAGATGTTTTTTTTTCCATAAATTAACCTAGTTTCATCAGAACATTGGAAAATTCAAGGCCTACAAAGAAATATAGGCCATTGCGCTATACCCAGTGAACATCAACAGAGTAAAGAAAACGATAGGGCACAGAATCAATCAAAAAAATTTGAATTGAAAAAATTAAAAAAAAAAAAATCACTCGACCAACAATCAGCAAACGATCAAAGCAATTAAAGATCCAAAGATTCAACTCAAAAACAGCTCATTTCTAAATAATAATAATAATAATAATAATAATAATTCTACTCAAATCAAAGAACCCAAAAGAGAGCAAGACTAACCTGAAGCCGATATCAAGCTATCGAGTCGATAATGGCTGCAAAAAAATGATCAACCAAACAACAAAAAAAAAGGAGAAAATAAAATTAGCCAAGTATCGTCTATCGGTCTATGGAGTGTAGANATATTTGAGTTTTGAGTCAAACCCTTATTGAGCCGACAAGCTATTGAAACATTAAACAAGCTCAAACTCATCTCAATAATGAATAATAACAAGCATACTAGGTTAACATTTAAGATAATTACATTAAAAAAGAAAAAAGCACACTTCATTAATCATGTCTGATGAGATGAGACAACTCCAATTCATCAACCAAGCGAACCTTTCTGAGCTCAAGCTCGACTCTTTCATTAAATGAGTCAAACCGAACTCGAGTCGAACCAAACTATCTAACGGCACATTTTATATAACAACACTACTTTGAAGTTTGACAAACTAATTTCTCAAAATTTAGGGGTGGGAATGGGAAAGTGTGTTTGCAAAATATCTATATTCAGTCTCTATCTCATTCTAATTTTAAAAAATTGTTGTTCATTTGATGTGGATTATAGAGTGCCTAATTATAAATTAATCCGTAGGTTTATAATAGATAAGTGCAACTAGCCCTACTGATGAAACACGAAAGTAGTCAGTGTTAGTTTCAAAATTCAAACCTCAAAGTATTTATTTTGAATTTTGAAGAGACAATTAACTGTGTTAATCAAATATTATAGTCGTGTTAGTATGTTACCTAACGCCGTGATTATCAAAGTAAACATCGATGTCAAAGCTTAAATTTGAGAATTGAAAATCCAATAAAAAAAGCTCGCAATCTAGCCATTATTCCAATATTTAATTATACACATGTTTTCGGTGAAATGGATCGTGGATTAAACATTGGGCTTATCAATCTATTGTATTATGTGAATGAAAATATATAATTATAAATTCTTTTGTCGTTTTTCCCCTAATTCAAATTATATGCAATCACATACAATCATCCAAAAACATTAATTAAATGTAATAACACTAATGTAACATATAAATAATAATTTAAATGTGAATGATAACATATTATATTTAATTAATACATCTAAATAATAATTAAATTGAAAAAAAAATATAATTTTCTTAACCAAAATGTTCTAAAAATTAATGAACAATTATGTATTAAACACAAAAATATTAATCTTAACAAAGTAGATTTGATTAAGTTTCACTAAAGCTTGATTAACTAAAAGCATTTCCAATGGTTGAATATTGTTGTGGTAAATTATATTCCACGTCAACACATTAAATAAAGTTACCATTTTTTCATCTTCAATGTGATCACATATGTTGTAATGATGTGAGCATAATTAATGTCTACAATGAAAAGAATGTGATTCATTCACATTCTCTTCTACACTCTAACTAACTAATGAAGAAAAGAGGGAGAAATATTCTTACCAATTATAAACAATCTAATTATTTAATTAATTTTATTTCTTCTTTTTAAAAATTTTTAATATGTGATAAGTATATAATATAGTTAGATTATATTCTGCATTGGAGATAATATTTTAGTTTCATAGTTATAGACTTAACATTTTTCATACATGATTCAAAAATCATTTAATTTATTGACATTTGACAAAATTTGTTAAATTCCCACAGCTAAATTAATTAAACTGATTTAAATATGAATATTTCCTTCACAACAAACTTTAAAAGATAAATAATCTAATTATATTATGAAAAAACAAGGAAAATACTAAACACACAATATAACATTGCGTGCAAACATCTAATGCTTTTAATCCATCATCAACCCCACCGCAAAAGAAATGCTACAGTGACAGCTGCCATAGCCACGAGCTCCATCTGGGTTTTCGATTGTACACGAAAACCCCCCACCATCTAATCGCCATGGATCCTTGTGTCGACATCTTCCAAATCTACCGGCAATACTGTGGTAAAATTACGAACTTTTTATGGTTCAGTTTATCATCTGGGTTCTTTTATTGAGGCGTTCTCTGATTGAATTCGAGAAATTCGTGATTATATTGGATGTTTTGTTCGAGGGATTTTTTATTTTTCTGCACATGGACTGATTTATGTGGTGTTTTTTCTTCATTTTCAATTGAAAAACTCTAGCTTTCTCGAGGAAGGTTTAAGCTTATTGTAATTTTGTTGCTGGGTTTTATTGGAAGAGGGGTTTAATGGAGGAATTCACTTTCGTGAGATGTGTGGAGTGTTTATTTATATGGGTTTTTTTTGTCCTACTGGTTCTTTTGTGAGATGAACTTGCTTATGGCTTAGATGCAGAATGTGATTAATATATTCAAATTAATGTTCTGAATCCCTTTTGTAGTTATTCTTGAGTTGTCTGTGTTTCCCTTTTTCAAATTAATGTTCTGAATCCCAGATCTTTGAAGTATTTTAGTCAGATTTTACGTGGTGTTCTCCTTCAATTACTATTACCAATTGCCTCACCTACATGAATTATTTTATTTGAATTTTGCTATAAAAGCAATCATGTTGATTGTTGAAAGAAATTTTTCTGTTCCCTGGATATGGGTTAGCTTTTGTGTTTTTCTTACTTTCCGGTAATAAACGGCCGACCTAGAAGTTATTGTTGGGCTTAGTTTTGATGCACTTTCTTCATACATTTGAGCGGTTGCGCTTCTGCAATTGTTTTGTTCTGAATTTGGAATCAAATAATTCATTTCAGATATTACATCAAGGGCGATTGCTAATGAGGGAGAAGAATATGGTCCAGATGACGAGTCTCCGAAGGCAAGAATCTCAAGAGAGGCATTAGCCGAGTTATTGAAAGTGGTGGAATCGAATGTCAGTACAAGGTATTATTTTTCCTTAATTTTTCCTTTTAGTTCTTTGCAAATTGTTATTATTATCATAATATTTATATTTCCTTATTTTATTTTATCTTTTTTCACTTTTTGTTTGTTTATATATGTAGTAGCTGATAAAAGAATTAACCGGCGAGTTTACTGTTAATCAGGGCTTCAATTCTTGACGAAGTTTTCAAGCTGATGTCGAGACTAGAACTGATGGTATATATGCTTGGTGTAGTTCTGCTTCTGTACAACTTCTGGAATAAATTCATTTTCTAAACTTCTTATGTTATAGGCAGAGTTTTCAGAGTTCTCGCGCTTCTATGATTTCGTTTTCTTCATTTGTCGGGAAAATGGTCAAAAGAGCATCAGTAAGTTAAGCTACTGTTTTAGCATTTTTCACTGCCATATTTTTTTATCTCCCATTGTAAATGTTTTTTTGCGCCATAATTCTATTTTTAGCAATAATATAACATCAAAGAAATGTTTTTCCAGCTGTTAGCAGGGCCGTGATGGCCTGGAGATTAGTATTATCCGGAAGGTTTCGTCTACTTAATCAATGGTGTAACTTTGTGGAGGTAAAGTTATTATATACATTGCTGTTATCCTCTCAGTAATATTCAAACTAGTCTTTATTTTATAGTCGATGTTTATTATAATATTTTTTTTCCTCTTCAGAAACACCAACGGCATAACATTTCTGAGGACACATGGAGGCAAGTTTTAGCTTTCAGTCGATGTGTACATGAAAATCTTGAAGGGTATGACCCTGAAGGTATTATTATTGTCTTCTCATTATGTTGTAACTTGTTATTTAACATTCATTGTCTGGATTTGTTACAAATTTTTAAACATTTTCACCTTCTGAGTGGTGATATTTCTTTAGTGATCTGATTATTTTTTATTTATTTATTTTTTCTATTTTTTTTCCTTTTACCAGGAGCATGGCCTGTTTTAATCGATGACTTCGTTGACTACATGTACAGGTACAATATTTTACCGCACGTGTACAATCACATTTTCATAAAAATGTTATGTATCTTGCTGGAGGCTAGGTCTTTAGAGGATGCTTGGATACAAGTTATCAATATAACTCAAATATCTCAATTTTTTTAACTCAACCCCACTATCCTCAATATTATCAATATAATTAAATAATATCACTCCATCATTCTTACACATTACATCATTTTAATTTACTATTCATTAACTCACAAAATTTTAACTAACCATCACTTCATATCACCTCTTTCCTACTTTTACATAAAATTAACTTTAATTATTTTATTTTAAATATTATTTTAATATCAACTCAAAATCCCACTAACAACTAGCCATACCACATTTTTCAAATTTAACCAAATCAACCAAAAAATCCAATCAAAATTCTTAAACTAGTGCAACTTATTTTAGTTTTAGTGCCAAATTATGGTTGAATATTATTAGGTCGTTACTTTTGTCGATAATATATTATTTCGGCATTTGACCAGCATTTTTTGAAAAATACAATATCTTCTATTTTAGATATGATTTGGAATCTAACATCAACTTACATATATATATATATATATATATATATATATATTTTATTTGAAACAGGATCAGGGGATCTGGCTGCCCTCCTAATTTGTTCTGTAATTGTGGTGACTCAGAACCCCAACAACGTGTGGACTCAGTGCCTGGTATATTAGCTAATAATATTATGGTGATTACAAATTGAAAGGAAAAAAAAAAGATTATTCTTCAAAATATATGCGTCAATGAAATGCAAAGCTCGAAGGAGTATTTTTTTCATTTTCCGGTAGTTTTTTGTAATTATCCCAAAATCATTACACATAAACTTTTGTCACTTACAGGACTGAAAATATTCCCTGGATCAAAGAGAAAATCGGACGATAATATGCAAATGGACATGGAAGCTGCAGATGGCTACGCGGCCTCTAACAGTATTATTATCAAAAGCACTAAGAGAAGGCACTTTTATTTGGTCGAGAATTCTGTTAATGGTGAGGATGATCGTGTCGGAATAATTAAGCATAATTACAACAATTGTAGCCCTTTGGGTGGCTCCAAATCGGTTTGTGCAGTTGAAGGTTGTTTGACCAAGGGTTTTGCAGAGCTTTTGACCGGTCAATCTTGTTTGCAATTCGATCGGGAGAGGAGAGTTTCGTATACATAAGATGAATGAAAACTATTGGTTGGTCGGGTTTTTGATTGTTTGATGTGGTGTTTGTGTGCTTTTTTGGGCTGTGATTTGTCGTCAGCCGGGATTCAGATTGATATATCATATAAGTAATAAAATACATTTTTTTTTTTCTTTTTGTTAGTATTACATTATATAGGGAAACCATTATTTTGATTCTGTTGGAAGTTCCTTATTAGAACTGCTTGGAAATGTATGCTTGGGTATAATTTACAATGGCTGCTGTATTTGTGTTTGAGGATATGAAGTTCTGAATTTTTTTCTTCCTTTTTGAAAGTGTGTGGAAGTGTTCTATTTTCCAGAATTGGTCATTACAGTGTGTTTGTTTTTATTTTCTAAAATAATTCAATTCATACTCAAAATTTAATTCAACTTTAATCGGATTCATTATCTTCAATATTATTAATATAATTAAATAATAACAATCAGTCATGACTTAAACAAATAGACAAACCATCAATTTTAATTCATTATTCATTATTCACATAATTTTGACTAATCATCACTTCACATCATCTATTTCCTAATTTTACAATAAATCAACTTTAATTATTTTATTTTAAATAGTATTTCAATATAAACTCAATATTCCACTAACAACCAATTATACCATTTTTTTTTAAATTAACTCTAATTAACAAAAAAACAATTAACACGCCCAATATTCCACTAACAACCAATTATAGTTAATCAAAAAAACGTATTTTGAACGGATATATTTGTATCTAAACACGCCCTTAATATACTCTGCTGAACAACAAGGATAAGGTAGAAAAAGGTGTGTGTTAAGGTAAACTAAATAGTATTAGAATGGGCTCACCCATCGTGTCCAACGGTAGAAAAATTGTCCGCAAAAATTATTAGTGAGCTTTAAAAATCGTCAATCATCAGTAACAACATTCGTACAAATTATTAGTGAGCTTTAAAAATCGTCAATCATCAGTAACAACATTCGTACAAACTGGTAACATACTTAAGACTAATATGTTTGAGAATAATATGACCAATACTAAACAAAGTTATATTCATCATATTGTTCAACCTCAATCACCTCAATCAATCACTACAGGTAAATATTCAAAATTTTATTATTGATACATGATAGTATTTGTTTTAAATTTACTGAGTTTTGATTTTCATAGTTACAGGAAATTACTCAATTAGTAAACCAAACCGAAAACGGACAAGGACAGGTAAAAGTTTATTATTATATATATAGCATATTACTATAATGAAATAGTCAACAAAACTATTGCTCATGGTTTAACCTTTACTTATTTTTAAATAAAATAGGCCAATCAAAGATAGAAGGTAGAGAGTTATTACGATATGTGCCCTCTGAACCTTGGGTATTTGAAGAACAACAACCATGCATGTACTGCCAAGCTATAAAAATGCCACGTGAAAGTCCAAATTTCTGTTGTGGTGCAGGAAAAATAGTCTTGGCATCAAACTCAATCCCACAAGAACTAAAAGACTTTTTAACATCAAACTCCGAAGAAGCAAATTTATTTCGAACATATATAAGAACTATAAACAATATGTTTGCATTTACATCTCTTGGAGTAAAGAGTGATAGAGAATTAGAAAAACGAGATAAAGGAATATATACATTTCGAATTCAAGGACAGGTATATCATTTTATAAATGATCTATCTAGCTCAAAAAACCTTCAACTTTATTTTTATGACACTGAAAATGAACTTTCAAACCGTTTGAATACTTGCACAAGATTAACTGAAAATATAATTAAAAAAGTCATGGATATTCTTAAAGACAATCCTTATGGTCGATTCTTTCGATCATTAAACAAAAAGGAAAATCTTCAAGATTATCAAATAATTTTAAGAACAGCCCCTGAATTAGATCAACGAGTTTTTAATAAACCAGAAGTCTCTCAAGTTGCAGCGTTATGGATAGAAGGAGAAGAAAATGGTGAGACAAGCAATAGAGATATTAAAATACAAACTCATGGTGGTTATATGCACAATATAGAGTATTATTATGGTTGTTACGATCCTTTACAATATCCACTACTTTTCCCTTATGGTGAATTAGGATGGCACCAAGGTATTCCTAAGATAGACACATTAACTTCTACACCATCATATGCTATAAAAAATAATGAACTGAACATATCTCCGTTATCAGCAATGTCCGCTGAAGAGTTAATCCAAAATGAACATGAAGGTTAGTTTTTAATTTCAATTCATTTAACAAAAAATATGTTTTTTTTTTTTTCATTTTTTTTACGTTATACTGACTATATATATACTTATTATGGCAGAATTAATAGGACATAAACATAATCCAAATTTTGTCTCTGTACGACAATATTATGCTTATAAATTGCAAATGAGAGAAAATGATAAATCACACTTACTCCACTATGGTAGACTATTGCAACAATATATTGTGGACATGTATGTAAAACTTGAATCACAAAGACTAGACTTTTATAAAGTACAACAGGACGAAATAAGAAGAGAGTTTTTACAAGGCGTACAAGATTCATTAGCTGCCGGTGAGAATCAAGCTTCTAAAATAGGACAAAGAATAATTCTACCAGCTGCATTTATAGGAGGGCCACGTAATATGAGAAAAAAATACATAGATGCCATGACTTTAGTTCAAAAATATGGAAAACCAGACATCTTTTTAACAATGACGTGCAATCCAAACTGGCTAGAGATAAAAAGACATCTGATGGCACATGAAGAAGCACATAATAGACCAGACTTAACTACAAGAGTTTTCCATGCAAAACTTGAAGAATTGAAAGATGATCTTTTCAAAAAGCACGTTTTGGGAGAAGTTATTGCATATACATATGTTATAGAATTTCAAAAAAGAGGCTTGCCTCATGCTCATTTTCTAATTATTTTAAAATCACATCATAAAATGTACAACCCAGATGAATATGACAAAATTGTTAGTGCTGAAATTCCAAATAAAAAAAGAAATATACATTTATATAATATGGTGAAAAAACATATGATGCATGGTCCGTGTGGTTCTCTTAATCCTAATAATGTTTGTATGTCCAAAAAGGGAAAATGCAAGAACTTATATCCAAAACAATTTTGTTCAGAAACTACACAAGTTGAAGCTGCATATCCCAAGTATAGACGTAGAGATAATGGTTATCAAATTAAAGTTCGAGGCAATATGCTTGACAATCGTTGGGTGATACCGTATAATCCATATTTACTAGCCAAGTTTAACTGTCATATAAATGTAGAGATATGTTCAACAGTTCGTGCAGTGAAATATATATATAAATATATATGTAAAGGACATGACAGAATAAATTTTCATGTACAATCTGATAAATCAGTTAATGAAATTGATGAAATACAACAATATCGTGCAGCGCGTTGGGTATCTCCACAAGAGGCTGCTTGGAGAATATTTAGATTTTCTATGGGTGAGCTAAAACCAGCAGTTATTCAACTCCCAGTTCATTTAGAAAACTATCAAATAGTGAGTTTTCGAAGAAAGGATAGATTGGAAAACATAGCAAATAACCCAAGAAACAAAAGAACTATGCTCACTGAATTCTTTTATATGAATAGAACGGATTTTGAGGTACAAAATCTTAACCTAACTTATATAGAATTTCCACAATATTTTGTTTGGTTATCTGATGAAAGACGTTGGAAAAGAAGAATACAAGGAGATATTGTAGGTCGAATGAGCACAGTTCACCCAATAGAAGGAGAACGTTATTATTTAAGAATGCTTTTAAAAGTAGTAAGAGCACCAAAATCTTTTAAAGATTTAAGAACATACAATGGTATAGTTAGTGAAACATATCGTGAAGCAGCATTAATGAGAGGTTTATTATTAGAAGACTCCAGTCAAGATAATTGCCTTGAAGAAGCCTCTTTATTTAACATGCCGTATGAACTAAGAAGACTATTTGCAACTATTTTAGTGCATTGTTGCCCCCCTAACCCCAAAAAGTTATGGGAAAAATATGAACATGCCATGTCAGAAGACTTTATGAGACTTAAAAATTTAACTTCTAATGAGATAAGGAAAAAAGTATTACAACAAATAAATGGATTTCTTGAATCGATGGGGAAAGATATAACTTCATATAATTTAGTTCCTCCACACATGTTGATATTTGATACGCTAAAAGAAACACGAGAAATAATAGCAGAGAAAAATATTGCTGTAAGTGAAGCGGACTTAAATGCAAAACATAATTTGAATGATAAACAAAAAGCTATTTTTAATATTATTTCTGAAAGAATATATCAAAATAAAAGTGGAGCATTTTTTATTGATGGCCCAGGTGGTACTGGTAAATCCTTTTTATACAAAGCATTACTTGCAGATGTTCGATCTAAAGGTTATATAGCATTGGCAACTGCAACATCAGGTATAGCTGCTTCAGTTTTACCTGGAGGCAGAACAGCACACTCACGATTCAAAATCCCAATAGATAGTACAAATGGTAAAGAATGCAAAATTAGCAAACAAAGTAGTTTAGCTACTTTGATTAAAGAGAGCAAATTAATAATATGGGATGAAGCACCAATGGCGAAGAGATCAAGTATAGAATCACTTAATGAACTATTAAAAGATCTTATGGACTCGAATGAAATATTTGGAGGGAAAGTTGTTGTTTTAGGAGGAGACTTTAGACAAATTCTGCCTGTTGTTCGAAAAGGAAAAAAGGCAGACACTGTTAATGCATGTTTAATAAAATCTGAACTTTGGCCCCTTCTTGAAAAGTATCAACTTACAGAAAATATGAGAGCTAGATATGACCCTTGGTTTACTGACTTTTTGCTGGATATTGGAGATGGCAAAAGAAATAACATAACCAATAACAGTGTTTCAATTCCTTCATCAATTGTACTGAAATATTATGATGATAATACAAGTTTAGATGAACTAATTAACTTAGTATATCATTCAAATGATACACAACAAGATTCAAATAGTTTCTCATTAAATAGAGCTATCTTAACAACTAAAAACAATTTTGTAGATGAAATCAATGAGAAACTTATTCATAACTTCCCAGGTGATATGGTTGAGTATTGTAGCTTTGATGAAGTTTTAAACCCATCCGACAAAGGACAATATGAAGATTTAATAAATAGTCTTACCCCAAATGGACTTCCTCCACATAAACTTCATCTAAAAGTTAATGCACCGATAATTCTATTAAGAAATTTAGATCCCACTGAAGGGTTATGCAATGGTACAAGATTAATCTGCAAAACCTTGACTCGAAATATTATACATGCTGAAATTGCAGTTGGCGAATTTGCCGGAAAAAATGTTTTTATACATAGAATTCCATTAGAACCCCCAAAAGGTGAACAATATCCAGTTCCTTACAAAAGAACACAATTTCCAGTAAGATTATGTTTTGCAATGACAATAAATAAGGCTCAAGGACAAACATTAGACTATGTAGGAATTTATTTAAAAGAACCTGTTTTTTCGCACGGACAACTTTATGTGGCATTATCACGAGCAATATCTACATCTAGAGTAAAAATTTTAATTAAACCAACATTTTTTGAGAAATCAGACCATTACTGCACAAGAAACATTGTGTATACAGAAGTGCTAGAAGCATCCAGACCAAATAGTATGTATTATACTTACTCTTTTATTTACGCATTCTATTCTATGCACTTTAACATCAGTTTTCATGTTTTCGCAGAGCAACATGTCAAGGAAATATCTTATGATCAATCAAGTGGATGATGAAGTATATGGCTGGACAGTTTTAATTCAAGTTGTTGAGCGCAACCATGTCTCAACCAGCCGAAATGAAAAAGAAACAAAATATCGACGTTATCTATTAACTGATGTTGAGGTAAAATCATTGAAGATGTTTTCAATATTCTCCTATGTTCATTAAATGATAAACATGTTTCTCACATGTAGTGCTGCTTGACTAATAATTGGGACACAAAAATACTAATTTAAAGTTGAGTTCTTAACAGGGAACAAAAGTATCTGCTGTCACATTTGGAGCTAACATAACACATTTTGATAAGAAGTTGCTACCCTTCAAAAGATACTATATATCAAATGCAACAGTCAACATAGCTCCACCAATGTATAGAGTGGGAAACTATGCTTATAGTTGGTCTCTAAAGAAAGGTGACCTGGTTGAAGAGTATGAAGAACCCATCCCACCACAACTTCCGTGCCATATTGAAGTTACAAAATTTGCTGATCTTTTCAAATATGCAGAAACTGAAAGGCTTCAAAGTGTGTACCATTTTTTTCTTCTCTCCCTCACTCTCTCTCGTTCAACCAGGATGACATATTAAGTTGTTGTTTTACTCACAGTACCTTAACTACCATGACCCTTATTTCATATACTGTTTTAAGTCATCATTTTGCTTCCCTCATGTTTGCCGAGAGTTCATTTTTTATTAATTGTTTGTACTAACAAAACTCATATTTCAATTTCATACAGATGTCAGAGGAGTGGTTGTCCATGCTTTTCCCCCCAAAAAAAACAATGAATCCACAACCAGAGAGTTCATCATTGTAAATGAAGAGTACGTCCACATTAAATTACAATTCATCATCAACAACTCATTTATTTAAATCAGACATTAACCTTTTTTTCTTTATTTTAAATGTGATCAGAAAACGTTTGATGTTGTTCACTTTATGGAATGAATTCAACACTGAAGAAGGGACCCAGTTGGCAAATGGAATTGGAAACTCCAATGTAATCATTGCAATGAGGGTGAAAGTCACTACATTTAACAGTAAGAAAAAAAATAATGCTTTCAGAATAATCAAACATTTTATATGTTTCTGAACATAGTCCAAATAATGAGACGTTTTCCATCATATTATATATACCAGGTTTATCGATATCTACAAAACAGCCAACCTGCATTTTAATCAATCCACCAATGGCAGAAACAACTAACTTGAAGCAATGGTAAACAAATTTACTTTACCAAATATGTTACAATTTTCCATTTCTTTCTAATGTCACATTTAATTTTGAGACATATCTCATTTTCAATATTTAATAGGTACAACGGTAATCGTGATTTTGTGGAAGAAAGCATAAAAGCATGCACTTACAAGGACCCTAATATTTTGCTCCCACCCCCAGCAGACGAAGACATCCTGAACATTGGAATAGCACTATCAGTATTAAAAAAAGATGTAAGATAATATAATTCTTTTTATTTTTTTTTCTATTAATCTCAATATTCAAATTAACTAATTTACAAATTATTATTCCAATGTACAGCAAAAAACTGCATGGGTCCAAGGAACTTTAAAGCTAGCAGTTAATCAACGCTCAATGTGGTTTAGTGCATGTGGAATCTGCCTAAAGTCAGTTAACACTCCATTGGGTTGGACAATAAAATGTCCAGCATGCAATCAAGAATCCACTGTAGAAGCCAGGTAAATATTGTAATTTATAAAATGGCATAATTTAATAATATTTCTATGTAGTAAAATATTTTTCCAATAATATATACAGGTGTCGCCTAGGAGTAATCATTTGCAGTGAAAATGCAAACATGAATGCATACCTCATTGGAAAAGAAGCTGAAAGATTGATACCTTTGACTCCTCTTCAGCTAAAACTCGCTGAACAACAGGTATACATAATTTTCAATTAAAATTTATTTCAAACGGTATTTATCACAACACAACAATACAAGAAGAAATAGTTATACCACTCACGTTAATTTATAGCACTTCAATTAAAATCATGAGTATTGATACCTCACAGTCACATGGACTATTCAATTGCCAAATGTTGCATTTGCAGAAACATAACACACTCGTTAATTTTCTCACTGTATTTGAAGAAATAAACGATCAGTTACCTTGAGGTTCTAATTGAGGCATAACATCAATTTTTAAAGATTAAAAAATGTTACAAGTTATATTATTATTGTATTTTACTGTATTCTTTTAGCTTGAGTTATTATTAATTTTAAAACTTAATTTTCTATGTTTAAATTCCATACATTTGCAGGGACATAATAAACACCCTGAGATAAGTGCTGCAATTGACGGAAAAAAAGTCATATGTTTCGTGCGCCATTACAATGTTGATTCACAGGTAGGAAGTAGTCGGGAAGCAAGTACTCAATTGACCAATTCCGATCGATACTCTATTGTCAAGTTGTACACAGTGGATGAAGTTCAAGCAAGATCCTCAATAATAACCCCTGACAATAAAAAAAAATGCATTTCCAAAGAAAAGTCAATTTCCAACATAGAGTCGGGCAGCTCTTCAGTTCAAACCATTGACCCCAAGGCAGATAAACAGTTCTTCAGTCCAACTGCAAGCATAATCTTGGAAACAATTGCTCAAAAGGTGAAGGAAGAAACAGATAACTTAAAACCAGCTGCAAAAAGAGCACTTGCTTTTAGTGATGCAATGAAAACAGATCAGACAACCACTACCACCTCAAAGCAGCCACAGACCAAAGAATCATCTATTTCATCAATTCATAACAAGGAAATCACATCAGCAACCCACAAAAAACCAAGAGAAAAAAATGAATGAAAATTGAATGTCAATGGTAAGGATGGCAGCTTTTGAAAACCATATTGTTTTGCTTTTTGTGTGAACTGTATCCTTGTTTTGTTGTATATACTTTTCTTGCTACGCTAATGATGCCTTGGGTTCAGAACTTAGGTTGTTATGTATTCTATTAGCGACGGATCATGGTTTTGAACAATGATTTGCTACTTTTGTTGTATATAACTACTATATTAAAAGACAAGGCTTTTGTTAATGAAATTGTTGCTTTTGATGTGTATAACTACTCTATTAGCCAATGATTTTTTTTTTTCTAAAACAATTGTAGCTCTTGTTCTGTGAAACAAAAGTGTTCAAAATATGAACACATAACACTATTATTTCTTCGGAAAAAAAATATCTATTACTTCTATGTGTTCAGCACTACGTGAATTAGTTATAATAAAACTTATTAAAATGTGAATAGAAATCAAATTCTACATTCTAGAGACATTATAGACTACTATTTCTTTAGCAAAATCAAAATAAATTATATTAAATCCTTCTTATAAAATATAAATCAAGAAAAAACATTATATAGAATTAAATACATTGCACATACACTCGTTGGTCTGATAAGGACAATTTCAGCCCAAAAGAGTACTCATATAATCAATTATAAACAATTAGATAACAAATTAAATTATACAAAATCACAACTCATAATAAAGTGTAATGCAAATGTAATCACCCTTATATATAAGTGTGCTTCGTAAGTTTATTTGTCATAAATTTGTACTTCCTATTAACAAATATACAAGNATTACTCATATAACAAAATAGCAAGGTACAGTACAGCTCATCCGCGCCTACCAACGGGTAGAAAATAAACTGGGAGACACACTAATAATAGTGGTCTAAACAAACCCACCCGGGGTATCAAGCAGGTACATGCACCTGAGCCTTGAATACTCCAACACCTACGGCTACCATAACACTAATCAACAACACAAATTAAACTCTAAGACAACCACCCTAACAAAACTACCACAGCAACAGAAGAAAAAGAAAGAAAACCAGCAGCAAAAAAACCAACAATGCCCTACAAACAACAAACAGGAAAAGGACAAGGACCGCACTGCAGCTACCTAAGATCTTTAAACTCTTTCCATTCCTTCACTGCCCTCCTCATGATTATTGTCTCTGGCATTCTTTCCTTTGTAAACACCCAAAGGTTGCGCGCTCGCCAAAGCCACCATAGTATATATGTCGAAAGTTGTATCCTAGCCTCTTCTGTTTCAGATTCCTTAATGTCACATACCTGCCACCACCAAGCTTTGAAATTTAAGCCCTGCAAGTCTATTCCATCCCAAGAGACTGGAGCCATCTTCCACACATTTCTGGCTTTCTGGCAATGAAGAAATAGGTGTTCGATTGTTTCTTCAGATTCTCCACACACTGGACATATAGCATCAACTGTAACACCTTTCATCATCAAATTAACCCCTACTGGTAAGATTCCTGTGAAACACTTCCAAATGAAGTGTTTGATTCTGCCTCTCACTTTCAATTTCCAGCTTCTATCCCTTGCCATCTTATTTTTTCTTCTCGAGCTGCTACTTTCAGGAATGTCCAGCCTGTTCACCTTCTCCTTTATCAAATGGGAATAAGAATCTGCCACTAAGAATTCTCCTTTTCTGTTCAGGCCCCAAATCCATTTATCATCTTTTTCTGCAGCTATTGTTTTAATGTTAAGGATGGCAGCACTTACCTGATTAGAGAAGAGGGACTTCACCAAATCAGGATTCCACTTTCTACCTGAGCTCTCCATTAGCTCCCAGACCCATGTAGGATTGTCAATGTTAGAATTCTGGAACCTTGGTGCCTGTCCTCCTTCCCCTGGTATCCACCCTCCATCAAGAATTTTAGTATTTTTCCCTGATCTGATCTCCTTCCAGCAAAAGGTTTTGAAAATGGGGAGCACCTTCAGCCAATTTGACCACAACCATGAAGCTGACTCCTTCCTCTCGGCTTGAAATATTGAAGTTTTGGGGAAGTATTTACTCTTCAGAACTTGAGAGACCAGTAACTCAGGCTGGTTGTTGATTCTCCACAGCTGTTTCAACAATAAGGCTTCATTGAAAAGCTTATAGTCTTTGAATCCCAGTCCTCCATACTCTTTTGGCAGTGTTAGCATGTTCCAGCTCTTCCAGTGAATCCCTTTTTCTTGTGTTCCCCCTTTACTCCACCAAAATTTTGCTGTTAGGCTGGCTAATTCCTTGCAAATTCCATCAGTTAGCTTGAAACATGACATGGCAAACACAGGTAGGGAGTTGATGACAGCCTTTATTAAAACTTCTTTCCCAGCTGTAGAGAGGTACTTATTTTTCCAGCTGATTAGTCTTTTCCTGACAGCTTCAATTACAAACTCAAAAGTCTCTTTTTTGGATTTGCCTATGCCAAATGGGAGGCCCAGATATCTAGAGGAATTGTGAGCAGTTAAGCCATTCAGCACTGTGCAGATATTTAATCTCATCAGGGGCAGTGTATTTTTGCTGAAGAAGACTGTGGATTTAGAAAGATTCACTCTTTGGCCTGAAAATGCCTCATACTCATGCAGAATATCCCTGAGCAGCTCAGCTTGATCCACTTCAGCTTTACAAAATACCAGCAGATCATCTGCAAATGAAAGGTGGGTTAACACAGGTCCACCTTTAGCCAGCCTCAGACCTCTAAACATCCCATCACTTGCTGCAGCTCCAATAAGGGCAGATAAGGCTTCAGAGACAATGAGAAAGAGGTAAGGAGATATTGGGTCACCTTGTCTCAATCCTCGAGTAGGTTGCACATATCTCACAGCTTCCCCATTTAACATGAAGGAGAATGAGGTTGTTGATACACAGTACATCACCCATTGCACAAAAGCTTTAGCAAAACCCATCTTGGTCATTAATGTCTCAAGACATCTCCATTCAACTCGGCCATAAGCTTTCATCATATCCAATTTCAGTGCCATGAAGCTATGTCTGCCACTTCTGTGCCTGTTCAAATAGTGATAGCTCTCCTGTGCAATTATCACATTGTCAAGTAGTTGCCTTCCAGGAATAAAGGCACTTTGGGATGAGCTAATGCAGACCTGAAGGCACTTCTTTAGTCTGTCTGCCAGTATCTTGGAAATAAGCTTGTATACCACAGCACAAAGGCTGATAGGTCTATACTGGTTTAGTGAACTGGGATTTTCACATTTTGAGATCAAGGTTACCAAGGTATGGTTCCAATAACGCAGGAATCTACCTGAATTGAAGAAACTATGAACAGCCTTGCACATGTCCTATTTTATAACTGGCCAGAAGTGTTGATAAAACAATGTGGTCATCCCCTCCTCCTCTGGTGCTTTCAGTGGATTCATTGCAAAGAGGTATGCTTTGATCTCATCATCTGCCACTGCTGCTGTAAGTTCCTCATTCATTTCTTGAGTGATGGATTGGGGAATTAGCTGCAAAATCCTGTCTTCCCCCCAAGACCCTTCTGAAGTGAAGAGATTCTGATAGAAAGTAGAGATGTGTCCTTGAAGCTCTTCTTTTGACTCCAGAACTCTGTTCCTGTTATCAATCATTCTGGTAATTGCATTTCTTTTTCTTCTCTGAACAGTCACTGCATGGAAAAATCTTGAGTTCTGGTCTCCCTCCTTAAGCCACATGTTCCTGGATTTCTGCTGCCAAAAGAGTTCTTTAGAACAGTGAGCTTCCTCTAATTCTTTCTTCAAAATTTCCCACTCATCCCAGTTCTTTCCATTTCCAAGCTTTCTCATTTCTTCCAGTTTCTCATTTGAGAGATGGTTGAGTAATGCAATTTTTTTAATTGATCTTTCAATTTGGTTCATGCCGATGGAACGAACGAAATATAGTGACTCATTTTCTCTCTCGATTGCGAGTGTTTTACTATCAACTTAAATTTGCTTCTATCTTTCCTTTCATAAGGTTAGATCTCTTTAATCCAATTTAGAGACTTCGTAGAACTGGAATTTTCGTTTTGTAATTGTCAGTCATATTTTAGAATAGGTTTGTATTGTCAGTGACGAGTTTACAATTTCTATATGTGTTCTTCCTCGATCTTGGCTGCACGTGTGAAAGATCATATCACTTGACAACTGTCATGTGGTTTTTTTACTTATCTTTTATGCTTTGCAAGTAGCAGCTTATTCATGTTATTTATTACGAGTAATAACATTTCATTTGAGACGTCTGACTACTTATCAAATAAATTGATGTTGTGAATGTGAGACCATAAAAAATTAATGCTACTTCAAGTAGACAAACTAATAGGTTGCATAAAAATGTTAGTACACTTAATATACATCATTGGAGCACTTTTTACCATAGCACACTTAATTTCAATTCCTCTATTGGGAGGCTTGTTTAGATATGGCTCTAAACTTTTATTAATTTACTTAATGTTTCTTTTCTTAATAGCATACGTATATATTATGTAAGCTCGTTATGCTAATATATTTATTATATATCATATATGTGATGAGTTTTACATTTTTTTTTTCTTTTCTAAAATGGCAGGCACATGGTTATGAAATTTGTATCAAAGAGCACCACACTTTCGGGATGTTAGTAGCGAGTTTCATTGTCTTTCTTTTTCTTATTCCCATATATTTATTCATTATAAAATATTTGTTTTTTTTTTTTTCATAAATTTGATAAACATTATTTTGTTTGTTAAACATTGGCATTGGCTGTAAAAAATTATATTGAGAATGATCGTTATTTTAGTCTGCCACACAACAATTGTTATGCTTTCTATGTGAAAGGGGAGATTAGTTATTTGATCCAGTGTTATCAATGGCGGATGGCGGTACGTGGCATTTTGCCAAAATTCCGCCATAGCGGCCGCCGTGGCGGTCTATGGCGCCGCCATGACCGCCATTATTCACAAATTTTGCATAGCGGATTGTTAAAAATCCGCCACGCCATACCGCCATGGCCGCCATTTGATAACACTTTTGATCGAAACAATACTTTCTTTTCATGACTAGA